ATGTACAGAATCAGGCACGCCATGTTGGCAGATCCAGCGTTTGAAGAATGCAGTTGCTACTGTCTCAGCATCCTGTACCTGTAATGGCTCGGCTTCCGCGACCTTGGTGAAATAGTCAATCAAAGCTAAAATATGACGGTTCCCTCTTGGAGTCGTGGGAAGCAGACCTATGATGCCTATGGCTACTCGCTCTCCTGGAAAGTCCGTGGACATCGGCTGCAGAGGGGTTACCGCCATGCGAGTTGGGTTCTTCAAGCTGGTACACGTGATGCATTTGCGACAATAATCAGAGATACAAGATGTCAGCGAGGGCCACCAATACCTCTTCCTTGTGGCGTCAAGTATCTTCCTGTCCCCACACTGCGAGGTTGTTCATGCAATTTCAACAGGGATGTCAGCCTCAAGGAATCTGGTACTGCAAGGCGTTTAGGATCTGCCGCATTATCGATTTTTTGCCAAATGACATCGTCTTCTAAAGAGAGTTATTCCCAGTTCTGCCATATTTGCTTGGCTCTCTTGCCCGCCAAACTCATCTCCTCAACTGTGGGCTTGGCTGAGTACGCCCTTAGTCTTTCATAGACTAAAGCTGTATCGGAGTCGGAGCTCTGCGTGGTTCTCCAGTGATTAGAAGTAGGCTCGCTCAATAACAGCGCACCTACTGTGTCACCGTCCGTGGACGGGTAAAAAGGGTCTCCGTGACAGAGCGTCCGCATTGCCATAAAAGCTCCCTTTCCTATATGCACTATAAAATCATATTGTTGGGCTCCTCGTACCGCCTTGCAACCGAGCGATCTATCTTCTTCATCATTTTCAACCATGTCAGTGCTTGATGGTCGGTCCGCACAACGAACTGCTTTCCTATCAAGTAGTGCTTAAAATGCCTGACCATTATATGAATGACGTAAAGTTCCCGTTACGTTGCACTTTTCTGTTTCATCTTTTTGCTCAGACGTGAACTGGCATACGCGATCGCATGTTCTCTCCCGTCCTTGGTTCTTTCGGATAGTTAAAATCGGCGCCACGCAGAGAGCACGCTTCAACTCCTTAAACGCTTCTGTGTGTTCGTTTTCCCAACGAAACTCCTTTTTTGCCTTTATGCATGTCAATTTGTATAGGGGACTTGCGATCCTGACGAACCCTTTTACAAAACGCCGATAATAGTTTGCCAAGCCAAGGAAGCTGCGAAGCTCCGTTTGATTTGTAAATGTTGGCCAAGTTCTCACTTGTCATGTTCTTCTTCCGTGAACGCCATCCCATCGGCAGAAATCGTGTGTTCCAGGAACGTGACCGAATTGTGGAGGAAACTGCATTTCTTTAGATTCAGCATCAAACCTGCTTCCCGAAGGCGATCCAGTACTAATCGGAGGTTGGAGTTGTCTTTTGGTGTCTCCCGAAAACGAGAATGTTGTCCGGATAGATAATGTAGTGTTTCGGGAAAAGACCATGCAATGCTGTCTGCATAAGTCGCTGGAATGTGGCTGCCGCGTTACAAAGCCAAAAAGGCATCGTTTTGAACTCATATAGTCCTTCGGCACAATGAAGGCTGTTTTTTTCTCCATCCTCCACTACATTCACCTACCAGTAGCCGGATTCCCGATCCAATGTCGAGAACGACTTTGTTCCTTGCAGAGGGTCCAACGTGTCGTTAATGTGGGGTAGAGAGAACGCATTCTTCTTTTTTACAGCATTAAAACCGCCTATAATGAACGCACAGACGTAGGCTGCCGCCGCTCTTTTTAACTGATGCGATGGAGGCGATCCAGGGTGACTGGCAGGGCCTGATAACGTTTGTTCGTCCCAGTTTCGCTCCCTCCCAGGAGAACATTTGCGAGTAATCCTTCAGGAGTGAATGCAGTTCCATCCTCTCAACCTCAGTAACCTGTTTTAGTTGAGCGCAGAGATCGTTGAGATTGGTCCCGGGGACGGCAAGAGCGACGAAAAGGGATCTGTATATATCATCTGTGTCTTTCTTTGGCTTAGAGATCGAACGCTTCTTCTTGAACCTTCAATAGGTTGTGAGCATGCCTGTGTCAAAGTCCATAGGCGCGTGGGACTGGCGTAAGAAGACGGCGTCCCAGGCAAGTTCTGGACACCGCACAAATTCACCTCCCATCTAACCTTCCCGATGGAGACTCTGATAGATGCTTCTCCTATTACGGAGATTTCTATTCTGTCTACAAAGCGTAGCATGGTAGCCGGTGGGGTAATATTAACCTTGCTGCAGGCCATTGGGAAGGATTGTGGGTTTAGTAGGGAACGGGCTGCCCCCGAGTGCAGAGGAAAAGAGCATTTGTGACCTTCTAGCTTGCCCCGTACACACATCAAAGTAGGAGATCGCGAGAAAAGCAGATACAAAGAAAATTCTGTCTTACTATGTACTGAGGGACCGCTTCGGAGCGCACGCCTTTGCCCGCCGTCTTTTGGGAGTGTACGGACGAAATCAGGTGTTGAACTACATTGAGAATTGGAACTCCTGGCGCTTGAAGACTGCCGCGAGTGGCGCACATCCCTTTTGAACTGGACCACTATCCATGAGGCGACCCGCAGGGGACAGGGATAATAAGCGGAGATTCCCCGCAAAGTCTTCATCATTCTCTCCAGGTTTTTATAATAAGTGGAAAAAGTTTGAAGCTAGGAATCCTTCTTTCTGGAGGGACGTCACTTTGACAACAACCTCACAACACCCTTCTATAACCGTGACGTAGGTCGTAGGGCAAGGCGCGCAGTAACAAAGGCACTCTCCGTGCAGGATCGTAGAGTTCGCGCACGGGGTTCGCGATCCAATTCGGTTCCCGCCTCTCTCCTATGAAGGACCACTTAAACATTTTATTACATATTACATATGTCACCACCCGACGCTTCGCGATCACCTTAAGATTTATCTGGTCCTTGTACTCGTGGGCTGGCTTTAGGGTCATTCTCAGGCCTAGTTGCGTTGTACTCTTTGCAATACATTTATCCAGCTTCCCTTACTGTCTTCTTTCACCATGTGGGAAGCCTCGGAACGCTGAAATTAGAACTTCCAAAAAGGGGACACCTTTTCCCCGATGGGTGAATCTCGACCCCTATACACTTTGCAATACTTCATTGATATGGCCGCCTGATGTGTGTCGGTCACTTTAAGATTCGTCTGGCCCTCCTACGTGTGGTCTAACCTTCAGGTAAATCTCAGGCGTAATTGCTTTGTTCCCCTTGTAATACGTGTATTCGGCTTCACTTATTGCCTTCCTCTACCCGATGGGAAGTCTTAGGACGCTGCAGTCACCGATGTAGCGCCTCTACACCTCCTATTAACCAGTAACGGGCCTAATAATTGATCGAATATATATATTCAAAAGGAAAAAAGAAACTGAATATGGGCGTAATCCAAAGGTCAGCCTAACCGGCAAAAACGAAGTGACTATTAAAGCTCTTGCCAACCCATATTGCCATTTGAACGAACAATTATTCTTCGGTTGACCTTCGGTCTAAGCCAAAGCGAAGTTGTTCTCCCTTCCCATTCAGCACATGTATTTAGCCTTACAGGACGCTAAATCGTGACTTTGCAAGATAGGCTTACAACACAGCCTTAATGTCGGGGTATTTGCTTCGAGTGATGCAACACCATAAGTGTCTGCAGCTGAAATCAGATGGAAAGGGAAATGAATTATACATCATTCAACGGTTTATCTTCCAAAAGCCCCAGTATGCCATGAATGTACGTAAACGTCATTACTACAAAATAAAATTGTTCTAATAGGCATGAGTTTTTTAAATTTGTATTGTTATTGAGACGAAGAGGTTTCAAGACTAACGTGGCTTTGGGTGGGAAGAGTTGTTCCGAGGGTATAAGCCAATTTTCCAGATCTAATTTATCTTTGATTTAAAGAAGGGTCTCATCTCTTGCTGCCAACAGAATGCTCATTTTACTTTCTACAATCCTTTTTAGGACTAGATTTTCGTTTAAATGCACCTTGTAACTCAGAGGCAGGATATAAAAACAAGTGTTGTGCAAGAGCGTCGGATGACGCTACTTGAGTGTTACTTTAGGTTTTAATCCCACTCTGACTTTATATTAATGTTCGTACTCTGTTGCAGTGTCAAATGAAACTTAAGCAAGTAAATGTCTTCCCAACGAAATACCTAGGTTGGGCTTTGACACCAATGGTGAGGATGAGTTGATAATTTTGCCTGCAAGAATACTTGTTTGACATAATTATTGCGCACCAAGCCTTCCCACTGAAAAGAGGAAGGTATTGATTTAGGCCCCAATACATGTATTTCAGAACAAGTAGGGATTGGACACAAGAGTAGGACAAATATCAAAGCAGGTATCAGACATACAGGTGACCAAATAAATAGAGCATTACAAAGTACTAACAGGCGGAATTCCCCATAGGCGAGGATGTAATACTCTCTTTAAGTGAAGACTTGATGTCGAGCTTTTACTTACACGTTCGCCTCGCACTTGTACGCGTGAACTGGGACTCGAGTAAGTCAGGGCTTAAGCCCTTCTCCTCCCCCTAGAATGCGCGTATTTTATACCAACTATCGACTTGAGACGATACAAAAGGAGAGCGAAATTCTAGCTCTGTCTCAAACTCCCCTTCTTCAAACCAAGATACTGCCACATTTCTACCCCTTAATTACGCAATCGATTTAAAGACTCATGTGCGCAAATTTACACATTACTTAAATTTGGTTTTTTACCTTAAACGACGCAGGCTTTTTTGGCATCTTTTGAGATAAATTCACCTATAATGTTCTAAATCCATGTAAAGAGATTGTCGCAAACTTAGCTCAAAAGTCCTTCAATTTGACACGCGTCTCTGCATAATAACAAGAGATAAAATTATAAGCATTTAAAATCATTTTATTGTCTACTCATATCGTTTTTAATAGTTGGTTTGTTTAAGTTTATCTATTAGCTCTGCGCCTCTGCGAAGTACCTGACGGCCAATCAGGAAGCAGGTCTTTGGTGTGCTGTTTCTTTGAGTGTGAAATATTGTTTCCGGTAGTAAATGGATAAGTTAACGAAACTTGTAGAGCGTCTTGAAAATATAGCTGATCGCCTGGAAACAGCAACCATCCGAGAAAAGTCTATCAAATCAACTGCAAAACACACTAATAATTCACAACAGGCTCGGTGTTCCACCATGTCCTCTCTCGACAGCATTATTGATGGTCCTCTTCAGAAGCTGTCCTCAATTAGCGCGACTATAGGCAGCGATGTCAAAAAACAGGTATGTAGTTGGTTAGATTTTGAGTGTGTTAGTGTGATTTGTTAATTGCGGCCTTCAAAGCTGAGTCTGATTTTGTAAAATCGTCGTCAGGAATGGCAAAACCATCCAGCTCACAGCTTCCGGCTGTTCTTAAACCATGCTCTGATGCCATTCAAAAAGTTACAGAATTTAAGGACCGAAATCGGACGAGTGCTGACTTCAACCACCTCTCTGCCATTGCCGAATCCGTTTCTGCTTTGGGATGGATTGCTGCAGTATGTTGAGTAATTCCAGTCTCTCATGAATATTCTTAGCCGGATCCACCTGCAAAATTCATTAATGAAATGGTTGAGTCGGGAAAATTTTACACGAACCGAATATTGAAGGAATTCAAGGGCAAGTAAGCTTAAACCAAGTAAATTGAATGATAGCCCGTAAACCTTTTGGACAATTTGCTGCTCAGCTTCCAGGTAGTCAAGTTTACCTGTATTCCTCATAGAACTCAGAAATTATATAGTTTAGAGTTATTGACTTAATGCTGGATGTTTATAAGACTCCTTATTGGTGCGATAACCATTTAGCTCTTTTCCACCCTTCGATTTTTTGCTTTGCAGGGACGATAACCACGTAGAGTGGGTGCACGCGTTTTTGGATGTGTGGAACCAATTGAAAGACTTTACAGTCGCTCACTATCCCGCGGGACTAACATGGGCCAGTGGTGGTAGTGATGCTGGTGTTCCCCCGCCTCCACCCCCACCACCACCACCGCCGCAGTCTTCTCAGATTTCCTCTTCTGATGTAGGCAATTGTAGTGATCTATGGATTTCTACTAAGTATTGCCACAGGAAGGCATGAGAGCTGTCATTACTCCTCGTAGATAAAACAAATTGAATTTCGTGTTTATTCTGGTTTTCCCAGGCAGTCTCTTGGCCCTTTGTCTGGAAAGATTGTTCGAGTTTGATTGCTAGGTTCGCTTGATAACATTTGATATCAGGCTTAAATTAGGTAATAGAGCTCATATCCCCTTTTCGTTACATAAACTCTTTACGCGTTGTCACTTTCCCATTGTCATCGGTAGTAAATAAATTTCTCCTACACTTTAGTTAAAACTGAAGTTTGACGCTTATTTACAATTTTTTTCTGGAAGTTATTTGCTGACCGAGCTATTAATTTTTTAATTGCTTTTCGTAGGAAATTGTTTTTAGAAGCTGTTTGTCACCAAGATATGACCATCATCGCTCATGGATCACATCCAGATTTTTATGATTTGCCTTTATCAGCTGTTTTTCTGTTTTTTTGTTTATGCTATTAATACGCGGATTTTGACCATTCGTTTTTTTAGTCGAAAACAGAATTACCAGCTTTGCTTCTTGTCTAAATGAGTTGACATCGACTTGACATTGGCTTTTGAATTTTCGCCTCCACTTCTGCTTGTATTCTTTTTTTTACTTTGGATTTGTGGTAACGAAGTTACAGCAGGGTAAATTCTTCGTTCTGGGCAGAAGCATTAACTACAACCTTTCTATTGTCTAAGATTCTCTAAAACTTTGGTGTTTCTCCCAGCGGCTAGCATTTCTTAAGCGACTACTTTATGGCTAACAGCAGATAGTGAACTTGCCAAAGTCTAGGCCTGGGGTAGAAGCCAAGTTTAGACGTTGGGAGATCTCAATTACTGGTCAGGATGAAGTGGATAGACGGCTTGTTTATATTTGCTCACTTTGGTTGCTGGAGTAGCAGTTGGTCCCTATAGCTTCTTCAAACGCACTTTTTCCAGTGCTTTTCTAATTCATAAGTCAGGTTTTGTAGATAAACGTTTGCCTGAAACAGGCATTTGCGTGGATTGCAAAAACACTGTTGATTGGTCTTTTTGACTGCACTTGTCTCAAAAGGAGCTAGGCTTCGTGTGAAACCATTTTTAAGTAGTTTCTGCACTAAAGGTAGTTCCTATGTATTTTCATCTAATGATGTTATTACTAACACTTGCTGTCGTGGCATCGGCAATCGTTTGTAGTGTAGTTTGTGAACTTTGGTCCTGCCTCTCCACTACCAGATTTGAGGACTACCGCCACTACAATCACTTATCGAGGAGTTTTAAGTGGTGATCAGTGGTCATGTGTCCACGGATTTTAAGGGCTTTTGACAATTCTTAAATTTGGTTTAAAAGTTCTCACCCTCTGTGTGTACAAAGTGCTGGCTTCGCTTGACTGAGGCAAACGCTGCTTTTGTGTGAAAAAAGAAGAAGCATTAGGTCATTTATGACTTCTGCTACGACTTGACCTCCCTCTACGACCCCAAATGTAAGACGATGAAATGAGTGTTTCATGGAATGCAGTTCTCGCACTGCAGTTTTGTACACGGGGTCTAGGCGCGCGTGAAGTATCAACAAGCGCACCTATCGATTGACATAATTGGCATCTCCCTCAGGCAAGGCACTGCGCCATTAGCGGAACTGAACCAACGCATATGGGGCATATGGGGTCGAGACACAAACGTTGTGATTCAGATGTGTTTTATGACTGACCGTTAGCATCGTTGGGGTATGGTTGGAATTCCCACCATTTCCTTATTTTTCTCCCTCTCAGTCCGCGGGGCTCAATGTGAAGGCTTTGTTCGCGGAGATCAACCGTGGTGATGCATCGACCAGGGGTCTACGCAAGGTCACTGAAGACATGAAGACGCATAAGAATCCTGACCTGCGTGCTGCTGCTCCTTTGGCGGCCAAGAAGGCAGTCGCACCTGCTATTCCCACTCGTCCCGATCAGCGCAAAGCAGCGCAACCCCAACCCAAAATTGAACTTGTTGGTAACAAGTGGGTTGTGGTGAGTCTTTAGCTTATTGTTAAACTTCTGAAGTTAAGTCTGCGTTTCTACACTTTAAAATCTTCACTTAGTTGTGTGTTAAAGTATCTTCATGTTGGCCTGGGAATAAATAGTTTTACTGGCTGAAGTAATAAAAATGATCATTGCAAACGGATTGACAACTGGATTGTATGCGGGTCAACATCATGCCTCTCTCTTTTTTGTCTGCTTTTTCTCAAAAAGGCCACTCAACAATCGTAAAAAATAAACATTGCATGGTTGCAACGTTTCGCCTCCCTTTTTATGTGTTCCAATGCGTACGAGATGTGAAGCTTGTCGTTTCAGAGAAGGTCCACCACTTATAGAATTCAGTTATTCTAACTTACTAAACTTTAGCCCTTAAACGTATGAACCACCCCCTAAACCGTAATTCTTACCACATTAATCAAAATCGCGGTCTATTTGTGGAGTCTGTGCAGCTAGGCCCTCCATTTGATTGCACACGAAAGGCTTGCTTTACTTACGCTACTTCGCACCTAAAAATAGTCGGGCACCACCGCACTCAGGTTGGATGCGCTCATCTGTCCTTGCATTTTGCAATGTTTGTATGAATTAAAGTGTAGGCACCTGCTGCGGTTTATCAATTCTCATCGGTTAGTTGGATTTTGTGCAAGCTTCCAATTTGTCGCCTCCGAAGACGTCATTGTGGAAGTAACTTCATTGTATTTGTGACAAGGCTGGGAATCGAGTGGTTCATCATTATGCCGCGGTTTGCTATGGCCAAGTACTCGACGAACGAAATAAAACCCAGTCATTCTGCATCGAGAACGTGGGTAGCCTTGACGAAAAATGCTTCTCATTGTAGGAGAATCAAAATGAGAATCGCGAAATCGTAATCGAGATCAAGGAAAAGAAGGAGACTGTTTACATCTTCAAATGCAATAGCAGTATCGTTCATGTCAAGGGTAAACTCAACTCCATCGCTTTGGGTACGTTTTTAACTTCTCTCCATGGTTGATTCACCCAAGTCTCTTTGAGTCTTTTGGTTCCTTTTCCTACAGCCTCATATTTGGCTAAAGAGTGAGCAAACTGTTGTCATGAGAGTCTGTCGAATGCCTGTTCTTGTCTCATGCTTAGCCAAATCAAAGCATCACTTACTAATTGCCCGTAAACTAGGATCTGAGTGCAGATTTTTCCACTTTGTCTCACTATGATTGCGTGTGCATACGCACCCACACTCTTCACATTGCTTGGTAAAACTATCGAAATGAGAATTATAAGTACTGTAGGCTCTAGGTAAAAATTGGTGCTGCACTCCAAGTCGCCTTACATGACAAGTGATACCTTCTGTATCTAGACAGCTGCAAGAAGACCTCACTCCTCTTCGATACTGTTATATCCTCTGTTGACATTGTCAACTGCCAGGACATCAAAATACAGGCAAGTGCACTTTGCCTCCCGCTCATCATCATGACCATCTTCCGTAAACAACTCACGTTCTTCTCGCACAGGTGACGGGCCTTATGCCAACCATCAATATCGACAAAACCAATGGCTGCCAAGTTTATTTAAGTGAGCAGGCCAAGGACGCAGACATTATCACAGCAATGTCATCGGAGGTGAACATTCTTGTGCCTGCAAAGGACGGAGACTTTGTGAGTTGATCCTCCAGAGGTTGAATCCTCGCACACTACACGCGGCATCCTTACAACACCTGTCTTACTCTTTACAGACAGAGTATGCGATCCCAGAGCAATTCAAGACCAAGTTCGTGTCAAATCGCCTCGAGACCAAAGTTCACGTATTGGAGTGAACACATTCATCCATTATTTACGCGCCACTAGTGTGCACTTTCCTTTTTCGCTTCTTCAGCTGCATACGTACGAAACAATCCTACAATGCTACTCTTCTTGCCTAATCACTTCCAGAAATAAACGAAAGTAATCCGTAGTTCTCGGATCTGAGCTGGGGGGACGTAGGGTTGCCACACACTAAGCCAAATGCTTTGGTCAACCCACATCGAACTATCCACGCTGCTAACCTTAGACAGCAACCACAGCTATCAGCGCTGCCGCTTTCAATCATCCAGCTCGCAACTGACGATCGATTAAAGCGACAGTGAAGTGAAGGCTCAGAAATGTCTCAACGAAGATGAATTAGAAAAGGAGCCCACCGAAAGCGCAAAGAGTACCACACGATTGTTTAACAATATATACACTTCACTATTTATGTACAAATTAGTTAAACACTTAGTTCCCATTTCCACCATGCAATTTCCGTGATTTTGCTGGTGGGTGGTCTGAATTTCCAAGTGCGGAGTCGAACTTGCGTTTTTTCGAGATACGGGGATTGAAGGTCCCAGCTTCGAGCTGTCGCAGCCGTTCCTCCAAATAAGCTCTGGCTCTGATGCCCATTTCGTTGTCAGCGTCCTCATCCCCAAGAGCATCCAGACGAATCGAGAGGGCAGCTTTGGCAGCCAGCATACGCGAAATCTTACCCTTGATAGTTGGTCCAGCTTGCCCAACCAAGCTAGCGTGGTACAATAAACCATACTTTGGTGTGCTGTGACGTGTCTTGAGAGCGCGAAATAATGCCTTCTCGGCACCAAGTATCTGAACGGTTGAAGCAGGATGCTTAGCAAGGTTTACCAAAGTTCCTGCCCTTGCAATTAAACGCGCACCCAGAATTTCGCCCACCAGAGCAGTCAAATTGGGAGCCACAGCGACCATACGCTTGACCAGATACTCGTGAAGAGTATTGCGGGATTCAGCCACTTCCACAACCTGGTCGCACAATGAGTGAATCATCTCCACGTCTTCGTTCGTCAACTCTGTGCCCAGGGAGACGATGGCAGCATCTTTAACCTGTGCAATCAGTTCGTCAGGAATGAGGTCGGTAAGATCCATCTTTGATGCATTCTCTCGAACACCAATGCGTTTAACGAGCTGAACATAAGTCATATTGTTTGTCACGATTTTGGCCAGCTCAGGAAAGTGCCAACCATACATTTCCTTGCATCGCATGACGTAGTTATTTGACTCTTTATCTAGCTCATCAAGAAGACCGATTGCCTGGACAATCATAGTGTCTATCTTGTCAGGGTTGCACTTAAGTTTATAGCGATCGAGACTGTGAGCCAAACCGAGTCGCATTCGCATGAGATCCGATTCATCAATTGCCGGAATAAGCGACGCCATATGAGTACGAATTGCACGCATGAGATTTTGCACCGAGGAATCAGCAAGCGTAGACACGTTCATTTTGCTCTAAATATTATGCTTTAATAGGAAACCACGTACCGTTATTTCTTGGGAAAGCTTCTTATCGGCCACAGCTAAAACGTCATCGCGTATTTCCTTAACGTACAGCTTCTTTAAGAGCCTCTTTAGTTTCTTGGAAATTTTCCCTTCGATAGTATCTGCGGCAGCTAATAACAGAAAAGAAACAGTATCAAACATAAATGAAGCGTCAGAAACGTTTAAATATCAACCACAACAGCTGCAGAGACTCTAGTCCGCAAATATCATCAGCGTACCTAGAAGCGCCTCCTTTGTATCCTCAAACTTCACAAATTTCTCCAGCTGAATCCTAAAAATGAATCAAACATTTAGCAGAACCACTACAACAGGGTTACTAATCACAAATCTTGGGTACACTCCAGCCCACGTCATCATTAAAAGCGAACAATAAAACACGATTAGCTCACGCCTGGTTCATAAACTCAGTATTCTCGAATTCTTTGGCCAAGTCGCTGACTTCCTGCAGTTTTTTCTCATTGTTAACTTTGAACACGGCATAACCAGCCGCGCACTCGAAGAGAAGAAGCATGCTCCGCTTGTTGAAGCGAGTGCCGTAAAGACAGTTTCCCGAGACGAGCGAGTTATAACAAACTTCATGCCTTTGTAATTTCAAGCATTCATGAAGTAAGGTGTTACCAAAAGCCCTTTTCCGAGCATGCCTGCTTCGCTTATAATAATTGGGTCCCTTTTACCAACATTTGAGATTCTGTAAATGGTAGTGTATTTAGGCTGTTTTCGCTTTTTATGCACTTGATTATCCAATTTTATTGATTTGCCTTTTTGCTTACGTGTAATACAATTATATAAACTATTTCCTTAAAGTTATTTATACATTTATTTAACGTAGTCTCAGAAATGTACGAATTGATTTCACTATGAAGGCATCCAGTTGCCTAGCCCTAATGACACTAATGGGCTGAGGCTTCCCTGATGTGATTAAGCACAATAGGTTAGAAGGGCTATGATGATCGTAATGTCCCGTGTAGCGTCCCTAGACTTCCCACAGGGAAGGAAAAACAGTAAATGAGGTTGGATACATGTGTTCCGAAGAGAACAGTGCAAATGGGCCTACGAGTACAGGGGCCAGACAAATCCTAAAGTGACTGCCGAACGTCAGATAATCAATTAAACAAAGCATTACACCCCGAACGTATGTATTCCAGGGAGAGTAAAGAAGCTAAGCCTGAGCTTGGTCTTAAGGCCAGTCCATGCATATGAAGACAGTCAGACATCAGGTGATCACAAAACCGAGGTATTACAATGATAGTTACAGGGACGAATTTTGGATTCGGTAAAATCCCCACTTTTAAACCGCACTACGGCTTGAAAATGCATAACATCTGTACGCTGTCTTTCATGCCTTGTGTACGGGTGCATCTCAGCCGAGTCAATGTGCACTTCCTCCCCTAAACTATTGCCGGAAATTAAACAAATATAGTAGATTTTTGTAAGTTGTCCTTGCACCTTGAGAATCGCACATTATATGGCATCAGCTCTGGTAAATGGATGAGCTTTCGGAGTTGTTAATGAGACTGACGGTTACTTCGGTATTTTTCGGACACTTGGAAGCGTGAATTACGCTAAGGCCTAATCTCACCTCTTTTTCCTTGAATATATGTATTTAAACCCACTCAATTCCTTTTTTATACCTGGTGGCAAGTCTCGGGAGGTTGCATCCGTAATTATTACCTTTGTACGGGTTAACGCAAGCATAGGGTGAAGGGAGAAGTGTACTCGCGCCATTTAACGATATCTATTAGGTCCTAGAAAGGCAGATGTGCTTCTAAGACGATAACAGGGTTGACGCCTTTCCAATTCTCTACTGAATTTCATGTCCCATTGTGTTCACCATGTAAAATAAAGCTCTCCATTGTTCTCAAAATCATCAGATACAGTCTACTAGAAGTAGAGAGGAGATGAATGAAAGTCCTCGACACTTAATGCCTTTTAACAAATTACAAACGATTAATTTTTCAACAATTGTTGTGCTCTTAATCCACAGCGTTTCCATAATTGGTTATTTGTTTTAGCAATAAACACTGCGCTTCGTTGGTTTTAGGGTTAATTGGACTTGCATTTTAGAGCTTAATCTTCGACCTCCTTTCTGGTGTTAAGGCGAAATACCAATCCGCCTTGGCATATGGATTGTGGGATTGATTATGCAGAGTGATGTTGAGAAGAAATTTGTACAAAAGAAGAATTGGAAACAACGAAATTGCCTGTTGAATAAGTAAACCGAGATAAGTGCTGGTAAAAATCCAAAAAATCTTCTAAATTGTTATTGTAGGTAAATGTTCTGTGCATCTTTCATTGACTTTCACTGATGAGCGCAGTTGTGCCGTCTTGACAGATGTGTGGAAAAGGGAGGTGGCAGAAGACTCTGCGGAGTGAGTAGTGCGGTTTCATCATTTGCGATTCACGGGAGTGTGCAGGAATTTGTGGCATCGCCCTTTTGAGTCCAAGCACAATCTGCAAATTGGGTTTGAGTGAGGACGCTTTATTCACGAACGTAGGGAACCAATTACAAGCAAGATTGAACTAAACATTTCCGTGGTTAAATATAGTTTGAGCCTAGACTAGAGGATTTGCCGTTTTTTTGCAGCTAAATGTTGTGGAAGGGCTGGAATCAGTGTTACAGTCTCATAAAAAAGCGAAATTTTGCCCAGAAGACCAGGATAAACCGACAAATTTTGTCGCACTTCGATAATAGCGGGACAGTAGGTCTTGTCCGTTTGTGAGGAGGGATTAGAGGCGGACGGTCATTTTAAAAGCTTCCTCCATTTAGGCCTCGTTAGAGAGTAGAACACTGACTGCTGCAAACTTTGCCAACGTTCCCTAAATCTAACCAAGATCCATTCAAACGGACTACTCCTAGGTTTTGTGAAATGTTTAATGTAAACCTGAAGAAGTTGTTTTGAAAACGATGGTAGGATTGCAAGTAATACAAGTTAATTTCATACCTTATGGAGATGTTGTTTTTGAGGTAAGTAGGCTCTGATTTATCGCACCACTTTCAAGCAAAAGCAGGATATTAATTCCGTGCAGCACCCAAAATCCGTGCCTTGACCACTCACTAAATGACAACGAAATTACGGAGGCGACTCACAACTGGGGAAAATTGGTGTGCACTGGTGATTGCGATTAAGTCACAGTCGTCACGGTGGGAACGTATCAGGCAAGAATGGCATGCACTGTCCACCGGCCAAAGTCATTGGTTCTGTTTCGATCCCCCAAATCACCAGATCTGCACCTCCAACCAACGTATTGCTGGTCCATTTCCCTCTCCTATCAGTGCCACTGCTTCAGTCGGTGAATTAATCCGTTCGCATAGCGTCACGCCTGACAACAAATGCCCTCAAGTCAGCTCACACTAAACGTGCCATTTGCCCACAGCCTAAAAACACTTGGTGGCATTTTAAATGAGCTAAACAGTTTTAATTTTGTCTCCGAGTTTTGGGATGAGTTAACTGGAAAAAAACTAATCTTGAAATCAAAGGGGAGAAAAAAGTGGGAACTCGACAATCCCCTCGGCCGGGGGAGGAGACACCTTCGCATATTCCGATTGTAGCAGTTCAGTAGACTTCAAGATGCCGCCTTACTTTGGTGGCACTCAAAATTTCACCAAAGACGGAAGTTTTTTTGACACAAAGGTGAAAATCTTGGCAGCATTACGGAACGCTCCATTTGTGTAGCACAAACAACAAAATTTCGACTTATCACGAATTGTCAAATGCTGAGCTACTGAAGAGCAGCTAAAATATGGGCTGGTTAAAGAAGAAGAAGAAGGAGTTATACGTTAAGGTTGAAACAAGATTCTTGGCACAGATGACGACTTTGATGAGTCCGAGGTGGCTCTCCTTTCCTGAGCAAGGAGATCCGGAAAGACTCATAATAGGGAGTAGAAGTTCCCAAAGCCGAAGGTAAGATAAGGGCGTTAGGTGCCTCTTTGAGGCAATTTCAGTTGCCTTCATTTAAATATGACTCTGGAAGGTGTCCTAAAACAGAGCGTTGGAGAGGTCGGCTGTAGCGTTGGCCGGGCAACAAGCTGCGATGCCTCGGAGGCATACTTAACTGCCGTGATGGAGCGTACTTTGTGGCTACAAGAGCCCTAGAGCAGTAAAAATATGGGCTTAAAATTATGAACCCTAAAGTTGGTACCGTAGGGGGCAGGAGGAGGAAAAGGGGGGAAGGGGAGAAGTGGTAGTAATAAAATCCTCTTTTCGGTCAAATAAGCTCAACAAAAGGTTGCCAAAAAGTAGGCAGTAAAAAATAGCAGCCAAACGTTTATTGAAATTCCATTTTTACCCACTCTGATCTCCGAGGGGGGCGAAAAAACTCATAAATAATGAATGTAGCACTTTGTTTTATCTAAGATACAAAAAGCGCTCCCGGAAGGATTTTATTACAAATTGGTAAAAAGAAATAATGCAAGCGCGAAAGACGAGTTTTTTTAGGAAAAAAAAAGTGCAATACAATGCATTTCACCGGTTGTGCCGTTCAGGTTGCCTCTTCTCCACCACCTTGCTCCAACTTTTTGTGGCCATGAGCCCTCGTAGTCGGTGTAACTGGTCCGACATTAGTTTGGGTGCCTTTTTAAAATCCTCACTCCTGTCATTATTTGGGAAGCACGTTTCCATCTAATTGGGGTGTTCAACTAGTCAAGTTAAAATCAAATGGTTGCGATAGCAATCAATTCGAGTCTCGGGTGGCTGTGCCCACGACTGGTGGAGCTGTAACAGAATGTTACTCGTTTAAATTGTCCCTGGCGGTTTGAGCACTTCCTTAGTGCTGCACCTTTCGAGTTGCGTAGGTTGTCAGTGGCTCATCAGGCTTGCGTTGGCGCAACGCCGTCTGTGGCGACACTTCCACCGGCCACTTCATTGTCCACATTAGCCCAACCAATGCTTTGCCAATTGAGTTGAGGCGGTGGTGGGACGCAGGAAGTGAAAGATGCTGCAAGGGGAGACGAATCACCGTGCGCCACCACAACATTTACTCCACCAGTGGCGAGACAAGATCGCCCAGTTCAATATTTCTATCAACAGAACGACATTTCCCCAAAAAAGCAATCTTAGCCCCTGCCTCTTGTCATCTAAGCAAACCTGTGAACGGCACAAGAGCGAGGTGGAAACAAGAGTGGAATTATCTCAAGACCACATACATCGACTCCATTATGGACTAATTCAATTAAATGAATGAGTGAACTTTGGAATTGACTCCTCTTCTTTTTTTGCTCGTGTATACCACTTCTAAACTTTGGAACACACACATTGTCGGCTCGATTAATCGGTCCCGTGTTTGACAAAAAGCCGCCAACACCCTCCTGGTTGAACAAACACACAAGCTCACCCAAGTGTGTCATCGCTCTTTCCCTAATGAGCATTAGACTTACAGGCGGGTGGAAAACCGGCAAATTTTCGGTCGGCTTTGTCACCTTCTTACCTCACCCCTTTTCTAGAAAAGGTGACTAATAAATTACACGATGTCGTGTGTTGGAGGTGATGCACATGCGTGAGGTGCTAATTGTCT